CAATGAATTCCCTGTTGTGCAGGAATAGGTAGAAACCACTCAGAAAGCCTTCTGGCTTTGGTCCTCCTTGAGGGGAAAGGTGAAAAATCCTCCCTCCTTTTTGTTATTGGCCCATTTCAAGGCAATTAGCTTTTAATCCAAAGAGACTAAGGCTGACACAGTTGGGTTTTCCCTCAGTGGCTCCAGACTCTGGGTTGAAGACATTAGGGACAAGTTCTCCTCTGCCGATGCCAAAGGACAAAAGGGAAAGTTGTCAACACATTTTTCCCCATTAAGTCAAGCACACACATGGGCACACACATGGACACACTCTTGAACCCTCCCTACTTCCTCCCTACACATAGATACATATGCATATACACACACCTGCCACCTGCAGGGCATAAATTGAGCCAGAGAAGAATCTTTCCGAATTGAGACTTGCTTCCAAAGCTTTTGGGTTTGTATCTTGTGGCTTTTGCTTACTTCTTTGTTCTTTCATTCATTGTTTCATTAATTCAATGAGCATTTCATATTGAACATCTTCTATTTATGCAGCCAGGTATCCTTTGCTTCCTTTAAAGAACTCCCCCTTGGAATGCTCCCAGAGACTCTTGGTAAGTGGGTTGGTGTTTTTCACCTGAGAATTGAATGTCTGACAGAAATCACTGTTATCTAGTGAAAAGAACACAGATTCTAGAGTCAGAGGACCCAGGTTCAAAGCCCTCCTCTGACACTTACTGCCTATGTGACCGTGGGCATGTCATTTCCCTTCATGGGACTTCCATTGCCTCTTTTCTAAAATCAGGAGTTTGTATAAGATGCTTATCAAGTGCCCTTTGACCTGTGTTCTACACAGCTTTTTGAAATGATTTTACAAGGAGGAATCCTCTCTTTTATAATTCTCTTTGCTTGCTTAGAATTTACAAGAAATTTTCTGAAAATCCAAGGCCATTAGAAAAGGTACCTTTGACTTTTTATTGTTATTTCATAGGTTTTCAAGATGAAAAAGTCCTTCAGGGTCGTCTAGTCCAGAGCCTTCATCTTACAGATGAGGAAACTGGGAGTCCCTTAGAGGTGGTACCACATAGGAGTGAAGAGCAGATGACTGGGTTTGTATCCAAAGCCTCTGACGTGAAAGCCAGGCTTTTGACGTATTTTCAAAATTCTTTCTGTACAAGCAACCTGTGAGGAAGTGAGTGAATTATTTCTCTGTCCAAAAAAGTCCGAAGGAGGAAACTGGGGGTCATAGAGGTCGCAGGATTTGAGACAGAAGGGACTTAGGGATGACATAACTGAGGCTAAGAGGGCAAGACAGATGCAGTAACTTATCCAAGGTCACACAGATTATAAGTGGCAGATCTAGGGTTCAAACACTAGTCTACTAATTCTAAATTAAATGCTCCTTCCACACTGCCTTTCACATCACAGTAACAAGCCCAAGGCCATAGAGTAAGAAAGTATCAGAAGAGGGCTTAGAATCCAGGTCTTCTTTCATCATGCCACATTGTTTTTCAAGAATTCACCAGCGTCCAAATAGGTTTTCCCACAAAATAGAGTGTGTCTAAAAGGAAAAAGGAGAAGGGGAAGGCAGGGGATTAGACGGATAGGTAGTGTCAGGGAAGCAATGAATCTGAGCTTAGACAGCCTGTGGGAAATAGTGGAGGCTAGAAAGGCCTGGCGTGCTGCGGTCCATGGGTTACAAAGAGTTGGACGCGACTGAATGACTGAACAATTAAGCATCTGTGTACGAGCAAGTATCAACTTGGAAAACATTGAAATTCAGTGAAATCATTTATAGAACCCCAGTAGTACAAGACAGCTGGTGAAACTGACTTTTTCACTTTTGAGGGAGGAGTATTTGAGCCCCAGGTAGAAATAGTCCATGCTTATGAGCTGAGACAAGCTGATAGGATTCATTTCTCTTGATGGAATGGTATAGGGGTGAGACCTCTGGATTGGAAGGAAGGAGATCCGGTGACTAATTCTGCCACTTTGAGTAAGTCTTTATGCTTGTCTTTGGTCTCTATTTGCTTATCTATTAAGAATGAGTTATTTGTGGGGCTAGGAAGTTGGGTGAGAGCAGGGTTCTTAACCTGTTTTGGATCTTAGACCCCTTTAGCAGTTTGGTGAAGCCTGTGGCCCCCTTTGCAGAGTAATGTTTATAGATGAATAAAATAACATACTTAAGATTACAAAAGAGACCAGTTAAAGTGAAATAGTTATTTTTAAAAAAATTAAAAACAAATTCAAAGATCCTAGGATAAGGACCCCAGGGCTGGAGAATCACTAAGGTCCCTTTCCTCTTTAATCCCATGACATTGCTCTGAGGCTTGTTTTCTTCATTTGGCCAAAGTGCAATGGGGGATAATATACTCTCTACCTCAGAGATTGGATTGTGCAGAAAGTACTTTGCAAACGTGGAAAGAATCCTGGCAGGTTACTTCTCTTTTTCTGGACCTCAGTTTCCCATTCTGTAAAATGAAAGGGTTGGACTAAATTGTCTCTGAGGTGTCCTCTAGCCCTTACATGTGTGTAGGGAAACATCAGGACAACCACTTTGCCAGGATGTTTCAGTTAAGAGTAGTTTGAGGAGGCATATGGATTATTGCTCTCATTTTCCGTGTCAACTTGCAGGTGTAGACAAAGGACTCCTTAGGTGGAGTCGGTTACAAAAGGACACATTTTTTTCTGACCAACAACATATTGGTGAGAGGTCCTAGAGTGAAAAAAAATACTACTGTTCACCCAAAAGGATTATTGGTTTGTGTTTATTGTTATTTAAAGGAAACAAGAAGTTGAACAAAAATATATTTAAAAGCATAAATATATAAAAATATACCATGTAATATTTGTAAATACATAAAAATATCAGTATGTAATGTATATATTATATACATATATAAAATACATAAGGATATATAAATATATACTATATATAATATAAATATATTTAAACATATATTTTAAAAAAGTAAAAAGTACTTTAAAAAGTTGATTTGGCCTGAATTTGATTAGTTTTCTTTCAAATAAGTTTATTGGATAACAAGTCCCTTTGTAGGGTAATTTTTATCCTGTACTGGGGTCTCAGGAAGGAGAGAAAGGGAGGGCACAAGAAAATTGGTCAACTGAATAGAGCCCAAAGTTGACTCCAAGATGTAGCTGGAGTTATTGGGAGTGGAAGTGGGGAGAGGATGCTTAAAAGATCGTCCCTGACTACAGTCAGACTTGCCCAAGGTTTGAGGTTCTTTTCCCCTGCCCTGCCCAAGGAGAATACTTTGGCTCACAGACAAGCAGTGACAGAAGTAAACCAGTTTGGCCAAACCCAAGGCCACTGAAAAAGCCCTTTTCTTTCCCCAAAGCAGCCAGTGAATATAGAGCCAAATTGAGGCCAAATAGGAGGAAACACTTTGTAACAGGTGTCGGGAGACAGGACTCATATAATGAGAATGCTTCAATAGCACTTTAAAGTTTTCAAAGTGTTTTCATTATACTTTCTCCATGCAGGAAGTATAATAAGTGCTACTATCCCATTTTACAGATGAAAAAAGTTGAGGCTCAATGTTTGATCATACTTTTGCTCTAAACTAAACCTTTATGACCTACCAATAGTTCCTTCTGGTGATATTGTTGACCTCCAAGTGGAGGAGGCCAGTGGGAAGGTAGAGTATGGATCAGGTATGTGCCATTGGAGTGGTGGACTCCTGGAGAGTAAGGTACATGGTATGTGTGCATGTGTGGGGGTGGGGTTGGGACAGGTTATGCTTCAAAAGGAAGGAACTCTCAATGGGTCTTCTTAACCTCAGAGATAGTGACGCTCCTGAAAAAGGGAAAAATCACCAGGCAGATCAGGAAGCAAACCCTAAGGTTCTTTTTGTTGAGATCTGAAGTGCCCAAGAAAGTTCTGAGTGTTCTGGATGGCCAAAAGAAATTGTAAAACTGGGAGAGAAAAAAAGCATAGAAAGGAAAGTGGGAAAAAATAAAAAATAATTTAAAAGGAAAGTGAAAACAACACAAAGGATTGATCATGGGACCCTCAATTTAGGGCTAAAAAGGCTTTCAGAGACCATCTAGTCCAACCACCTTATTTTACAGAAAAGAAAACTGAGGCCCAGCCAGGAGAGGTGACTTGGCCAAGGTCATACATAAGATCATAGATCTGAGGGCTGAAAAGGACCTCAGAGCCCTCATTTTACAGAGGAGGAAACTAAGATGCGTGGAGGGGAAGCAACCCCAGAGGCCTTTTAGTCCAAGCCCTTCATTTTATAGATGAAGAGACTGAGATGCCAGAGGTCATGATATTGTGTCACTAGCGATAGAAAGAACCTCAGAGGCCATCCAGTCCAGGCCCATCCTTTTACAGAAGAAGAAACTGAGGCCCGGGGAGGGGAAGTGTCTTGCCCCATGTCACATGTAGGATCCTACATCTACAGCTGGAAGGGACTCCGAGAGTGTAATCCAGCCTCCTCATTTTACAAAGGAGGAAACTGAGGCCCAAGGAGATTAACTGGCTTGCCCAAAATCATACAGTGGGATTTGAACCCAGATCTTTTGACTCTAGCATCAATGCTCTTTCTTCTATACTTTGCTGCCTCTCTTGGATGGTGGTTAGTCCAGTTTGACTGGGGTACTAAGTACATGGTGGGGAGGAATGTGAGAGGTGGGGCAGCAAAAAAACACTGCTGATGATTTCTTGGACTCATCTCTCTTAGATGATGCAACCTAGCCTCATGGAAGATGGCAATGTAACCACAGTGAGTGAGTTTGTACTTTGGGGAATTTCAGAAGACCCTGAGCAGCAGAAACTCCTGTTTGGTCTCTTCTTGCTCATGTACATTGTGACCTTGGTCGGCAACCTGGGCCTCATCTTTCTCATCAGGATCTACCCCAAGCTCCACAAGCCCATGTACTTCTTTCTTAGCCACCTTTCCTTCCTTGATTTCTGCTACTCTTCAGTCACAGTCCCCAGAAGTCTGAGGGATTTACTATTAGAGAACAAAGTTATTTCTTGGTCTGGATGTATGACACAGTTGGGCTTGCTCATTGTCTTGGCCTCGGCAGAACTGTACCTGTTGGCCTCCATGGCTTATGACCGCTATGTCGCCATCTGTAACCCACTGCTTTACCCTGTACTCATGTCCTCTACAGCCTGTAATTCCCTTGTGGTTGTTTGCTATACTTCTGGGATCATCAATTCCTTGACAGTAACGAGCTTCATCTCGAAGCTGTCCTTTTGCAGGGCCAACATTGTCAAGAGCTTCTTCTGTGACATCTGCCCACTGCTGGCTCTGTCCTGCTCTGACACCCAGGTCTGTAATATCCTGGTCTTTGCCTTTGGAGCCTTTATCCAGATGAGCTCACTACTTGTGATTGTGGTCTCCTACACATTCATCATCATTGCCATTATGAGAATCCGTCTAGCTGAAGGCAAACACAAAGCTTTTTCCACCTGTGCCTCCCATATGACTACTGTTAGCCTGCTCTATGGGACACTTATGTTTATGTATTTACGACCCACTTCCAAATCTGCCCCAAATCAGGACCAAGTGGTCTCCATCTTTTACACGATGGTCACACCCATGTTGAACCCTATTATCTATAGTCTGAGGAACCAGGAAGTGAAGCAGGCACTGAAGAAGATCTTATATAAGATCCTATATAAGGGCCGAGTTGTCCAGGCATAATCATTGATTTATATCTAAACAAGGAAAGGAGACCTTTTCTAGACCCAAACTGTTGTATCTTCACCTAGTTTTAGCTCATTGATTAATGCATGGTAGTAATAACGACAGAGTAATTAACATGGGGGTGACAGCAGTTCAAAAAATCAACTTTACATATTAAAATGGGAGAGACACGATTAAGCAACAGCTTGTCCGGTTCCATAACCTTAATGTGATGCAATATGATAGGATAGACAAAAAAAAAATCTCTAACATGTTCTTGAGCTGCATTAAGAGAGGTATAATGTTGAAGACTAGGTGATGACAGTCAAGCGGTCTTCTGTCCTGTTTAGACCACATTTTGAGTACCATGTCCTGTTTCTGGGCACCCCAGGTTAGGAAGGATATTTAGAATCTGCAAAGCATGTAGTGGAGGGGGGGAGGAGGAGACAAACAGGATGGCAAAGGGATTCAAGCTCATGACATATTAAAACTGGTTTAAAGAATTGGGGATGTTCAACATGGAGAAGGGAAGACTTGCTGGGGGCATGAGGAACATGCTAGCCATCTTTAAATATGTGAATATCCAAATTGTGGAAGAAAGATTTTTCTGTTATAATAATAGAATTCAAAAATCTATACAAATTTTATAGCTATTTTGTTACTTTCTATAAAGAAGACCTTTGAGAATTTGATTGGTATATTGCTAAATTTACAAACTAATTTGAATTCCATAATCATTTTTGCACATACTGGCATGACCCAGTCATGGACACTGAATATCTTTCCACTCATTTATATCTTCCTTAATTTTTGTAGAAATTGTTTTGTTGTTGTAAAGGTCCTGTGTGTGTCTAGATAGGTTGTCTCCCAGATATTTAATGCAGTTCATTGTTATTTTAAGTGGAATTTCTCTTTCTAGTTCTTCCTCAAGGTTTGTTAATAATATACAGAAATGCTAACGATTTTGTGAATTTATTTTGTGTCTCCTACTTTGTTGAAGCTGTTGTCTTGATTGCATTGGGGGGGGGTGATTTCCTAGGGTTTTCTAGGTAGGCTGTCATATCATTTCTGTCGATATGTTCTATACCTGTCTCTCCAGGTACCTACATTCACAAACTGGGATTAATCCTTAACTCTTTTCTCTCTTTAATTGCCCATATCCAATAATCAGATCATAGATCTAGAATTGGAAGGCATCTCAAAGGTCATTTATTCCAATACTATTATTTTAAAGATGAGGAAAGAGAGATCCAGGTATGGTGAGTATGATGTTGGGCAATGTAACACAGGTAGAATATATTAGAGGTGGGATTTGAACCTGGATCCTCTGATTCTAAAGCCAGTGCTCTTTCTACTGATCAACGTGGCCTTCCAATTATTCGCTAAGTTTTCTTTATTCTATCTTCTCACTATTGCTCTCATCTTTTTCTTCTCTACTCATATAACTACCATTCTAGTTCAGACCCTTATCTTCTGTCATCTGTATCAATAACCTCCTAATTGGACTCCAGCCCCCACCTTCTCCAATCCACACTGCTGCCAAAGTGACACTAAAGCACAGGTTTGACCTCCTCACTCTGTTTCTCAAAAGCTCCAGTGGCTCCCCATTGTCTCTAGGATCAAATACCAACTTCCCCATTTGGAATTTAAATCTACTCATAGTGTGGCTATATTCCTAGGGCTACTAGACCTCACTTTCCTTTATGCACTTTCTACTTTGATCACACTGGACTACAAGCTTTTCTTCTAATACAGCATCTATCTCTGGACCTTTTTTAGGCACCTCCCTGAAATGCATTACTGTCTCATATCTGTCTCTTGGATTCTTAGCTCCCTTCAATGCTCAGCTCATGGGTCGTCTCCTAAATAAGGCCTTTCCTGATTGACCTGGCTGCTAGTGCCCCCTCAAATGAATTTGTATTTCCCTTGCGCAAGAGAATATAGATGTGAAACATTCTGCAAACCTTAAAGTACAATGTATTTTTTGCTACTGCTACTACTACTACTACTACTACTACTACTACTACTACTACTACTACTACTGCTACTACTACTGCTGCTGCTGCTGCTACTATTGCTATTGATGCTACTACGAGTACTATCATCATCATCATCATCATCATCAGTGTATATATTGTTTCTCCTGATATAGAATGTAAGGGCAGGGGCTGATTTGCTTTTGTCTTTGTATCTCCAGCTTCTAGTCCAGTGCCTAGAATATAGTAAACACTTAATAAATACTTGTTGATTGTGATTGACTGGTTAGTATCATCCATAAAAACATAGAAATGGTTGGTTGAAATTGTCCACAGAAAGAGATAATTTTTCCCCTTCACTGGCAATGCTTATTCCTTTAATTTAATTTTCCTGTCTTATTGATACAGCTGACATTTTTAGTATAGTCCAAAAAGGAGACTATGAATATCCTTGCTTCACCCCGATCTTATTTGGAAAGCTTCCATTATTCCTCCTTTACAAATAATGATAGGTCTTAGCTTTAATTAAATCTTTTCAATCATATTACGGAAAGGTCATTCTATCTCTTTGCTTCCTAGAATTCTTAACACAAACGAATGCTGTATTTTGCTAAAGACCTTTCTGCATCTACTGAGATGATCTTGTCATTTTGTAACTTCTATTATTAACACAACTAACTATGCTAATTGTGATGTTAATGATCAACAATGCTTGTGTTCCTGCCAATAATAATAAAAAAAACAAATAACTAGTTTTCATGTCTGAGCAGTGCCATGACCCTGGAGTAAGTGGTTCTCTGTATAACTTTGTGTCATTGCAGCTGAGATGGCCTGAGATGATTCACCAAAAAAAGCATTTGTGGAGTAGACTGAGGTGCAGGTGCCCCATCCAACCCTGTATCCCTACTGGAAATGAGATGGTTCCTCTGGAGTTGGGATAATCCCTTTGTGACTAGGCGTATGAATTGCATACTGAGCTACAAGATAGGATAAAAGGGGTGCTATTCTTACAATCTCTTCTTATAATAAAAATACTAGCTAGCATTTATATAGTGCTTTAAGGTTTGCACAGTGCTTTACACATATTATCTCTACTTGATCCTTACAATAACCCTGGGAAGTAGATGCTATTATTAGCTCCCTTTTACAGATGAGGAAACTGAGGCACAGAAGAGTTAGTGACTTGCCCAGGGTCACATAGCTAATGAGTGTCTGAAGCCAGATGTGAACTCAGAACTTCTTTACTTAAAGTCCAATGCTCTATCCACTGTGATACTTAGCTGACTTTTTCTTATTAGGACTTTCTGGAAGGGCATGAGACACGGAATACAGAGTTGGAGGATGTGCCAGGAGTGGACAGGATACATCTGCCCTAACCCATCCCAGCTCCCCCTACCCCCTACACACACTGCAAATGATCCTGACCAGGGGTATGTGACAGAGGACCCTACTGGGATAAGGGCATAAATTGAGGAGCTGGAGAAATAAGCATCCGCCATTACTTTGGTGGAACTCCAAAATGACAGTCATTTTGACTTCTTCCCCTATTCTGCATTGGTCTATTAAAAAAAAATAAGATAATTTTCTGAAATATTTAACAAAAGAGCAAAGTTAAAAAAAAACAAAAACAAACCACTGCCTTATTCTCCTATGCATCCACTTTCTTCACCCACATTTGTTTCTTTATTGTGGTATTCCCTAGTACTCTTAGCTCTTTGTGGCATCCATTGTGTTAGGTGGGCCATCTATAGAACTGGCACCAAGATATTTGCCACCGTTGCGATCTCCAGTGAGAGATGGCTTACCTGCCTGGTACAGAGGCAAGCATACAACACAATGGTTTGAATCCTGGCTCTGCTCCTTATCACCTGGATGACCTTGGGCAAGTCACTTCACTCCTTTGAGCCTCAGTTTCCTCCTTTATAAAATAAGAGATTCTGACTAGCTGAGCTCTAAGTCTCCTATGAGACTAGGCCAGTTAAAGAATAGAGCTGAGTGCCAAAATGGCTGTGGCAGCAGGTGTTAGTCCTCTTTGTTCTGGCCACTCTTACACAAAAGAATCTATTTCCATTTCTGCTTCATTCTTCTGGCATGGATAGCATTCTCTTATTTAACTTGTGAGTAAGCAATGGCTCCACTTTTCCATCTGCATTCTATAGAACTAATGTCTTTTTTCCAAGGGCTGGCTTAAAAGTGAAAGGGACATGTTATTCATTGGGGACAACTGTGACCTTCCACTGGCAGGATGGATTCTTCAAGTGTTTCTCCTGGGGTGAAACTGGGTTGGCACCAAGTCATCCTCATTCTCTAGAGTAATTCCCTTTGGCATAAAGGGAGAGGGAAGGAAGAACTCTGATCAATGCAATGACCAATCGAGATTTCAGAGGATTCATGATGAAACCTGCTACATTACCCATCTCCTGATAGACAGGCAAAGGACTCAAGATGCTGAATGAGACAAAAATCACTGGATATGGCCAACGGGAGAATTTGTTTGTCTTGACTACATATTTGTTACAAGAGTTTTCTTTTTCTTTTTTTTCCAATTGGGTGGGGATGTGTGTGTGAGAGAAAAATGTTTGATAATAAAAAAAGAAAAGAGAGGTAGTTAGAAAATGAGGTTCAAGCTATCAGAGGCATTAACAGAAACTCCTAGGAGTCAAATAACTTCCAAGGCTCAGAGTGCATTTAAGGAGCAAGAAGTTGAGGCCTGAAACTTAGGAAGTAGTTTTGGGGTTCAGGTAGGGAAGAGTTGCATGGAGTTTTTTAAGAGATAGGGGTATGGTAGGAGCTACTTTCTTTTCTTTAATTTTGTATAGGTGAGGTCAAAACCACCCCACTCCATTTTAACTGGGTGATAACACATCTGAATCAATCAAAAGAACTTAGACTAGGTTTGAAAAATCTTTGACAGACATTTGGGGGGCAGCTAGGTGGCACAGTGGATAAAGCTCCAGCCTTGGAGTCAGGAGGACCTGAGTTCGAATCCAGCCTCAAACACTTGACAATTACTAGCTGTGTGACATTGGGCAAATCACTTAA